CCGGACATGAATATGAATTAGGCCAAAGAAAAGAAAGAGCATAAGAATGAATATGAATTAGGAAGACAAGATTAGAAGGAAACTTGTCTTGCCAAAAATCAAATTTTTATATGCATTTCATTACAGTAAGCGTTCACTATGCTCTCATTTTCTTTGAGCTTTTTTTGGGGAGGGTCAACATGAATTATGAAGTTTACAAATGCTTTTTACCTTTTTTTTCTCTAAAAATTTCAATATTTTCTAAATATCTTTAAACCATAAAGCTAACTATAAGAAATTTTGGGGCCCCTAGAATTTGGGGTGCCTCAAGCCAATGCTTTACTTTCTTTGGCCTCAAGCAGGCCCTGCAAGGGATCTAAAAAATTTACAAGTGATTCCGCATCCTCTATATATTTGTCAAAGACAAAAAACAATTCAGCTTAATTCTTTGTATGGAACTATTTTTGCCCACTAATCTATAGATATGCAAGTGAACCTGGACTTTACTGGCATTATTTGAATATCATGACCCACTAATCTTAATATCAACAAATGCTAAATATCTCTATGAGTCTAATCTTGGTGCCAACTTGACAAAAATATTTATCTTAGCCATTTTCCAGGCTATCTATATTATATCCATAACAATGTAAAACATGAGTAGATATATAATTGCCAATAAGCATTAAATAAATTCCAACATCCCGGGGTGGGGTGGTGGGGTTGTAGGAGGCATGTCTTAATCTAATTTGGTTGATGAGGTACAGATGAAAAAAATCATAGTACTATTTTTACGGCCTTTGCATGAAACCATAAAGCAAAATAATAATAATTGTACCCGTTGGATCACTATAAAGCTTCAGCACCTAGTTTTTGGTTTTTTCTTCTTTTCTTTTCTTTGTGGGGACTAGAGAGGGGCATGGGGCCAATAATGCAGAAATAGACGTATACATTGGTCCCTATTTCATTTTTTTTCCAATTAATCATTTGGCATTCAATGACCCACGTACTGACCCGACTAATTTGGATCAGCTGCAAGCCTACTATGAGGGAAGAGGTAAAGTGCTCATTATTCATTCTCATGGCTCGAAGCCTAGGTCTCTAATTAGGGTATTGGAGAAATTCCATCCTATCAGACCTCTTGGTACACTGATTCCTAATTGAAACACTGATTTTGAGCAGCAGATTCTTTTTTTCTTTTCTTTTTCTGGATTTTTTGGAGCATCTTGATTCACATACGTTTCTTTCTCCTTAGTTCCGATCTTCAAAAGTGAAACATGAAGCAACAAACATCTCAAGAGGAATTGAATAAAAGTAACACATGCTTTTTCTCTTTTGTACTGTCGAATCTTGCATGCCTGTATGACTGATAAGTATTGACTGAGCTAACTAAGCATGCATCATAAAAGTACCAGTGTAATCCCACGTGGGAGGGTAGTGGGTACGCAGACCTTACCCTTGTTTCGGAGAGAGAGGTTGTTTCTAATAGTGAACACATTTATAAATTTCAAAATCTTTATTTTAAGATTTATTACCACTCAAGAAATAGTTGAGGTGAATCCATGATTTGTATTTGAACGGCTCAATCTTTAAAATTCTTAACACTAAACTGGCTATACTTCTGAAATTATGGGTTCATATTCATATTTGTTAGAAAATAAACTGTATAACCCTGATAATTAGGTCTCCTAGGGAAAGTGAAAGTTCAAAGTGGGAAAAGGTTACTTTATGCAAGTGAAACACTATGAAATAGTGTGAATTAATTAGTGTATAACAAGAATTTTCTTAGAGACTTATCGTGTAAGGGTGTGGTAGGACACAACAGAAAGGTTATCCTCTGAGATTACTTTTGCTTTTCTACCCACTCTTATTACCTACCCTGGTCTTGTCCTTGTCTCCAATGTTTGCATCCATTGGTTTCCATAATACTTTAGTGATTTGTGCAAAGTTGCAAACGTGCTAACATTTTGGTGATTTTATGAACTGAAAATTCTTTAGCTCCAATTCCGGTGGCTAGCCAAGAGTTCAAATACAGAGAGTAGTGCAACTTCGAGCTCGACCAATGTTGTAGACAAACAAAACACATCCATTGTTGGTACTTGAGTACCTTGAGGCAAAGTGGAAAAGTAGCAATCAGAGATGCTACTGAAATCAAAATGATAAGACTTTAACTATATATAGCAGAAGCTAAAGAACTACTCTAGTACTCAAAGTGTGTGGTCAAATGGCAAAACTTATTCCCAGTAGCTTGACTCGCTCGTTGCGAAAAGAACATGTAAAAAAGTAAAGGCAATAGTGCTTTCATTGAGCACTGAGGTTATGGAATTCTAAAAGCTTTGTTTTCTTTTCTTTTTAATTTTTTTTATATATAATGGTTCACAGATAGCTAAATAAGTTGGGACTAACCTTGAACGAATACAAAAGTAACTCTGCAGATGAAAGATAGAACAATAGCTTCTAGGACTTTCCTTCAACTATTAGTTTCAACTATTGAGAGCAAAACTGAAGAATCCTAGCTACAAATCGAATTTATGCTTCGAATGGGCCCAAAAAGATTGACAATGTTCTAAGTAATACTGTATTCTTTGTCAATACATGTTTAAGATAATGCATGGGGAAAATTTTGTAGCAAACACAAAAAGGAGACTGGCCAGTGCCTAGTTCTTCCACCGCAGGGATTGTCTTATCCCAGTGTAAATAAGCCCCAGTGATCTCCCTATCAAACAAACCAGAAAGAATGAGATTGCATCACTCACCTTAGCGATAACAGTTCTCACCAATGGCATTGCAATATCAGCCAATTCAAGGAAAAGACTGTAGTAGTATCTCCTGTAAAGGATAAGAAACACAGGTTGGTAAGTTAATTTTCTTTTGGACAATGCCTCCACAGGCAAAGAAATTGGGACCTATAGAGAATTGGAACATATTCAGAAATATAACAAGATGACGAGACTAATAGTAACTAGCGTCTGATTTAAAATAAAAAAAATAAGAGCAGTTTTCCCAAGTATTCCAGGAATAAGACTTTTTGACCACAAACTGCAATTAATCATTCAATAGTTTCAAAATCCACATCGACAGCACATGAAAACCTCAATACCAACTAAAGACAACTTGACAACCTCAATATCTGAAATCAATCATCTCATGATTCAACATTTAACAGTCTTAGGACTAACTTTTTTATATAAATTTGAACTGTATTTCTTAATCAAAAACCACTAACTAATACAGTTGCCAACCACGAATTTTTATAATTTCCTCAATCGTCAACACTATTCTGGATTCCATTTCTTCGTTTGACACTGACCCGCATTTTTGAACTATTCTGGATTCCATCAAATCCTTGGTTTAGAACTATACATCTTCACCTGAATGTCCGGAATTACAAAATGTAACTCTCAAGTAAAGCAGTTACGCAGTTCCTCTTCCTACAATTGAAATAATCTCAATCAAGTTAAATTTCGGTCTGAGTTTGATTCTTTGTTTAGTGAGTCAAGAACTGGAAAACAAAAGCTTAATTCTTCTAACAGTTGAACTTTTATTCTTTTAAATGTTAAAAGTAAATGTTCTGTTCTAACATCCAGTCTCAAGTAGCATGAGTAATGAACTAGAATACCATAAAACATTATCACTAAGAATCATGTAAATAGCCGACGAAGACCCAGAGGGCTTCACAGTGGACACAAAGAAGAAAAACAGTCAATGTGATATGGAGGAGGTATGAGCTGCGAAGGCCTCTACTTACCACCCAGTCAAAGCCCTTAGTTCCTTGGTCCGCTTAACAGGCACAGATATTTGGTCGATCACAACAACATTCAATTGACGTGACACTGGTCTAGAACTTATTACATTAAGCTTCTTCCACCAATTAATAGTTTGATCCTTGTCCTTGCTAGATTCCTCAACAAGTTGGTATTGAAATATGCACAAGTCAAACCGATCTTCATACATGGAGACAACTGCTTCCATGTTCTGATGCAACCACTGATTGAGAGCAACCTGTTAAATATTTTAAAATGTGACATTAATCTCAGCTTCTTTTATAGTATAAATAATATGTTCCTTCATTCACTGCTGGTGGCTTATGGTTGTATACTCTAAGCCATTTGTGATTCTCACAAAGCAGTAAAGCGAAAAGCACAAAGAACAAGGTCCATGCAACGTGAAGCAAAAAGCAAGAAATGAAGCACATGCTTCTTTGAAGTGAAGCGCACACTTGTAATTATTCTCAAAAAGAGCAAATGTGACTGTGTGAAGACTGAAGACAAGTTCTATATAATGCAGAGAGCATTCGGTCTCATAGCATGAAGCATTGACTTATACATGAATGCAATAACCAAATATATGGTGCCATAAGCAAAAGTTAATACCTCGTTGCGTAACTTCTGAAGTGCTCTGGTTGACATTGTACATAAACTCAAACCAAGGTTGTTCATTTCATTTGACATGCTACTATCAACAGAAATAAGGCCCAAATACATACTTGCAATCCCATCTGCTAACATAATCACCAGATCCTCCAGTATAGAGACCCCATGCTCCATAAACAAGCTGTTATCATAAAGGTCATCCTTCCTGTCATATTCAGCATTACAGCAAATTAAGGCATCTTTTTGAACAATTTTCTTTCTTAGTCAGGACTGGTTCGAAACTCAGAAGGAACATCTAATTAAACCAATTAAGAGGAAAATGTAACATAGTAACATATTAGAAGTTCCAGTTCTATTTATGTGGAGCTACAGTTTACCGCCATAGATTAAACCAATTAAGAGGAAAATGTAACATAGTAACATATTAGAAGTTCCAGTTCTATTTATGTGGAGCTACAGTTTACCGCCATAGATCAAACCAATTAAGAGGAAAATGTAACATAGTAACATATTAGAAGTTCCAGTTCTATTTATGTGGAGCTACAGTTTACCGCCATAGATTAAACCAATTAAGAGGAAAATGTAACATAGTAACATATTAGAAGTTCCAGTTCTATTTATGTGGAGCTACAGTTTACCGCCATAGATCTCCATTTGAAAAGCACTTCAAAGTCAGCACATAGTAAAATCAGCGTTGTTGAGGCGCGCTTTAGTGCGCGTCAGTCCTGAAGCTGGGTATAGTGCAACATAGGCACTCCCCTTTCCAATACAGACACAAAGGCAGTAAGCGCCGGAAGATAGAACAAAACAAAAATATAGTTGACAAAGTGATATCTTAATTGTTACAAGAATGTTAGCAATATGTATGTTAATGATAAGGAATTGAAAATCACAAATTTAGAATAGGAAATTAGCCCCTTAATTTTATATATTAATTTGTTTTTTTTTGTAACTGAAAAATTTGTTGTTTCCAACTTCGAAACTCGGTGGATATTAGGCCCACCTCTCTACCTACTCCACGTAAATACCAAACTTGGTTCAGCCACCAAGATTCAAACTCATACTCATGATGTGCGACTACACGTATCTCGGTTGTACAGCCTTAGCCCTTGAACCAAAGATCTAAGGGCTTATCTAAAATAGAGAATTATCTAAGGAATTCTCACAAAAAGATAAAAGATGCAAATGGGTCACTGACTCCTCCAACAAACCAGAGATGTAAGAAGCTTTAAGGCTAATGGTAGCTCTTCAGTGACAAGAGAGATTCAAACTGCAAATGAAGAGTAGCTATTTTTACCATATCTATGACCGTAAGGTACACAGCTAAAACTAAGACATGGAATAGTGTTTAGGACCAGGTAGCAGTTAGCGAACCAAACAAATCAAAGCATTTTCAACCCTCTCAAGGACAGTGGTTAATAAAAGAATACAGAGTGATAACAACACCCAGTTCTGCTAAGTACAAGATACATGAATAATGCAGAAATTATTGTTGATGTCAGGGTTAAAATACTACTTCATTTAATCAAAAAGAAGGTAAAGAAACAAAAGAACACATCCTAAAATCATAGTAATTCTAAATTCACACGACTGGAAGAAGTGATATTACCTGATAAAACCAAATCTAAGAAAACATATCAGTTCTGCATACAGATCCTCCTTCCCTGACTTTTTTATATTCATCAGGACATTACCATGTCCATCTAACTTATCAATCACAATGGAGAGACATTCCTGACAATATATTGGAAGAAGATATACCTAAGTAAGTCACAAGAATGTACTTAACAAGAAAAGGATATATTTTTCAGGTCATACCTTGTTGGTTTTGTTACTTTTTAGAAGCAGTTCCTCTTCCAGCCAAGTTACACATAAAGGCTGACATGAGTTCTTAATGACATCATTATAAATGGCCAAGAAATTTCCCTTGCTTAAGGTAGCAGCATTCGCGGATATACAATCAACCTGTAAAAGTTGCAAAATCATAAGTGATGACAACGAAACCACCTGCTTGTGTAGACAGAAAGAAATGGAAAATAGTCAAAGTGAATAATCATGAGTACTCCCTGCTAAAATCCTACTACAAAATTAAAAAGTACACTCCCCCTGTGCAACGACCCGGCCGGTCGTTTTGTGTATTTGAGCCCCATTCCCCATTCGATACTCCTCGTGTGTGCTGTTGTTATGTGACTTGTGGGGATGGTTGGTTTGATTCCGGGAAGCTTTTGAAGTGAGTTGGAACACTTAGTTCCATTGTTGGAAGCTTAAGTACCTCCAGTATCACACAAAAAGTAATATTGACCACGGAAAAAATGACTTAAAAGTATTCTTAGAAAAAGTCAAATCCTGGACACAACCTTGAGGGATGGCATGCATCAATGAAATGGTATTGCATCAAATGCATCAATGAAATGGTATTTGACATTTTCCTTTATCTTCTATAAGTTTCATTAGTAATTACATTTAAACAGCCTTAATTACCTAATGTGTGATCAAACAGAGAAATCTTCCATTCTAAAAAATCACCAACGTTCTATTCAAATTCACAGGGCAATAATAGAGACAGTGCCTGCCTCTTTCTTGAGTAACTGAAAAGATGCCCAAAGTAACCTCAACCTTGGACCCTCGGCAAGAGCATATAAATTTGAAGGCTGTCTTCTACGGTTTTGTTCGAATTCAACAGGTGCAGCACCAAAGTCCAATTCTTCTTTTGCAGAAGACAGAGAACTCAGGAGTTTTCCTTTCACTACATCCCAGGCAAATTTTGTGTTAATGTCATTGTCCTTTCTCCTGGCACTGCAAATAAAAGAAGAAAATATCAGCAATAAAAAATGATACGTAAATTAAACCAAGTCAAAGAAGTGAGCTAATAATACTACTTGCATCAGTAAAATGCCTCATCTAATACCGTTCTTACCTACCAGAAGAGGAAGTCCCATCACTGTCCACATTTTTGCTTTTGATCTGTTCTCTAGTATTTGAAGGTATTACACCAGCTAGATATGTAAGAAAAATACTAGTCATCAGAAGCATTTGATCAATGGCAGGAACCAATTCAAAAGTTATTGCTACATCAGCATTAACAAGAGAAGCGACGCTAAAACCCCTCTTGCAACTATGCATGTTTGGTCTGCTCTCCAGTTTTGTTAAACTAGGAGTAATGAGCTTCGATATATTTGATGAAGGCAAGCGAGATACTCCACAATTTCCAAAGCAAAATCCCCTGAACCAAAAAATTGCAAAGTATCAGACTACCACATAAAGAAATTTTTCATAAAGTTGGCTGTTGAATAATAAAAGAGGAGAGCATATTAAATCAAGAACAATTAAACAGCGTAAAGGGCACGTATCTTTGAGCATTCCCATCAAGTCTAACAACCAAAATACTAAGAGGATAAACAAGCTTCAAGCTTATAATAATGCACATCAGTCAAATAAAACTGGAGTTATTGAAAGAGGAAATAAGACCTGTGTATCAACATAGCTGAGCTTTTAGACACAGAGAGCTGCTCTGAGAAATTTCCTTTGACCAGCAGCCTAGAACTTGATGGAAAGGCCACGAGTTCTGCCATCTATATTTTGCAGTCTTCCCAGTCAGAAGATCCTGTTGCTGGTTCGCATCCTACGAAAGGCCCAATCTGTCTTGGTTTCCAAAGCAACAGCTACATAAAGCAAAAATAATTTCATCGGTTGAGAATGTAAGAAAATTATGCTCTCCTACAATGCAAGAATAAAACCACAAATATGCATCCTAAGTGATCTACAGAAGCCATACATTGTCCTTATACACATATATTCCATAAGAAAACATATTTGCTTTCTGTTTTCTGATACGTACATATTTGCCAATTGTATTAATACATGGCTCATGGAATTCTAACAAACTGTTTACCATTTTTGTGATCAGAAAGGCACCAGAGTCACTCCTGTACCCCTGCTCCCATTCCCTCTCTTTGAAGAAAGAGGCAGCTAATAGAGGTACGGGGATCGATACTTGTCACAAATGTCAATCTTACATGTTCTTATCAGAAAAAAAGAAATAAGGAAGCCAGCTAGCTAGATAACTCACTAAACTAAACATCCTGCATCAGAAATGACCTAAAATGCACCTTACATACATGCACATTGTAACCAGACTACGGAAAGCTAGAACTAACACTTGAACCCTTCAAGCAAACTACAGTCTGCTCTTATCAGCAGGACACCAAAGTATGACATAAGATACACAAGTGCACTTATGGAGGAGCGCTTACACTGGCAATTCATAGAGTTCACTTACTGCATTCCGCTCGAATTATAACAAATAGTTTTACAGATTTTTTAAATATATTTTTATACTTAAAGTCCAAACTATTTTCCCACGGATATAAAGGTGTTACTCCTCCTCTATTACATTGAAAATAGAGAATTCAAATGCATAATGTTGCAGAATGTGGTTAAAGTCGTGAAGCACATTAATAAGCTACGGTTCATTTACCGCCTCATATTTCATCAACATACCTATACACTTGCTTAAATTGATTAGTGCTTAGACATTTTGAGCAATTGGGAACTTGAAATTGAGAGTGAACAGTAAGTACATAGCTCGTAAATGAACTTGGAATTGGAAACGACGACATAGAGCGTAAGTACATAGCTCCAGTAGTATGAAAAGTAACATTAATAGAGAAGTCAAATGAGGAAAATGATAGCAAAAAGCAAAATAAAGTAGTGCCATTGATGAGGATTTATGGATGAGAAATGTGCGTACCTTGAGCTGGAGATAACCAACAGAATGACCCGACGAAGAACCGAGGTGGAGCTGTTTTCCCTTTTTGTTTTTTTGATACCCAAAGACTTTTTGAAATTAAAATTTACATACTTCATTAGTCATTAGTCCCTTTTCACAAGACACATTTTGCTTTTTAGTTGGTTCAAAATAACTTATATTTTCGCTATTTAATAGGAAAGCCATCGCATTTATCTATATCGCTTAGCATAGTCCGGAGCAACAAATCGTGTTTTATTAATTAATTTTATTAATCAATAAGGACGAAAATATAGCTCATTTTTGTAATAATAAGAGCATAATTAACTCCAGAAATTATCGAGGCATATATGGATCATTTTGCATAGTGCATGAGCAAATCTAACCCTTTTAAACACAAAAGATAAAATTAACGCAAACGTTACAAATAAATAAATATATGGCATTATACATTTTAACAATGAGAAGTCTATTGTCACCGGATGATTATAATTTTGAATGTTCTTCAACGGTAAATTGTATTTCAATGGTTATATTGTAATTGTAATGACGCGCATACATATAATTCAAATTTCGATCTTTCATAAATAAATAAATAAAAAAAAGAAAATTTTCATAAATCAGTATAGTTTAATGACTATTAACTTTTTATAGCTACCATATACACATTTACTTCTTATAGCTAAGATTTCGTTGCTACCAGATTGTATTCGTTGTATTCGCGCTACTGTATTCATGAATACAATCACGTAATTCGCCTAATAAGTAGGGAGTCCATCTGTTTAATAACGTAAAGAGGATCAACTAGCGTGTATCACTCCTAATTTACAGTTGTTTAATTATGTATTCCATCTATTCACGCGAATGTATTTATAAATACATAATGTATTTATAAATATAGTGAGATAATACGCCTAAAAAATAAGGATTACGGGTGTTTAATAACGGAAAGCGCAATATTGAATTGTATTCAATTTCACTATATTGAATTCAATTGTATTCAAAACAACAACAAAAATAAGAAATAAGGTGTATACCGTTCTATTCAATTCACTGATATTTATTAGTCACTATTATACATTGTATTCAATTCACCATATTCAATTTGACTGTATTCAAATAACAAAAAGTCACAAAACAGTTATATTTGGCTGTATTAAAAAAATATAAACCTTCGGAATACATAAAATACAAGCGAAAAAATAATGTATTTATATAAAAAAAATATAATATATTTAAATATATTTGTACATAATACAATGTATTTATATCATTATATGTGACTCAATAGCAAGGAAGAGAAGAAAGTTCGTTGGAGATGACGCTTTCCGTCCAAGCAAAATACTATATACATTGTATTAAAGCTAAAAATGGAGACGAACAAAAATCCGGCCCTCAAATTTTCTATGGCGACTCTGTTTCAGATTCCAAAAGCTCAATCTGTAGCCATGGCCATATCTGTTCGCTTACTCCCCCTTCACTTCAAATCTATTATTTTCGCTTCATAAAGTCCACCATCGTCATAAAGAATGGATGCTACGATGGTTGTCTTGATAGAAAAGGGAGAGAGATTTGAGGGAGAAGAGAGAGATTTGAGGGAGAAGAGAGAGGATTTGAGAATCTTGATGATACAGAGAGAAGGAAGAGAGAGAAGGAACATAACATGCATATTTCACGCCTCAATGGTAGAGTATAAAATAAATACCCATTTCCGTGTCAGCAGTTCATAAGCTTATAGCTACATTTAATTGCAAAGACAAACGAAGAAACAGACAACTGGGGTGGTGGCGCAGTTGGCTAGCGCGTAGGTCTCATAGCATATCGAGTGATCCTGAGGTCGAGAGTTCGAGCCTCTCTCACCCCATTTCTCTTTTGCTTTTTGCAGTTTCTGAGAGTCGAGCCTCTCTCACCCCAATTCTCTTTTGCTTTTTGCAGTTTCTCCAATTTAAGGACCCATCCCCGCTTCGAATAAACTCGAAGACCATTGCCTATTTGACCCTCGTACACGAAACCCGACCTTTTCGGATAGTTCCCCCTCCCAAAACCCTACCCCTAACTCATAAACCCTAAGTCAATTTCCCACTTCCTCTCTGAAACCGTACACTTCTTTTCCAGCAAACAAAAATGGTGAAGAAAAGCAAGAGTAAGCAAAATTACTACTTTTATTCTATCAATATTTATTCAATTTTTTCTTTTGATTTTCGGTGTTGAGTTTTTTTCTTTTGGGTGTTGCAGAGAGTAAGAGCAACAGGGTATCACTGAAGAAGAAGTACAAGATTATAAGGAAAGTAAAAGAGCATCACAAGAAGAAATCCAAAGAGGCGAAAAAGTTGGGCCTTAATAAAAAGAGTAAGGCAGAAAAGGACCCAGGAATCCCCAATGATTGGCCATTTAAGGAACAAGAGCTTAAGGCTCTTGAGGCTCGTCGTGCTCGTGCTCTTGAAGAATTGGAGCAGAAGAAAGCTGCCCGAAAAGAAAGGGTAATAATTTTTGTCTATTGATGTGTTTTTAATTCTAAACAAAGTATAGTATATGTTGAGGATTCATATAGCTGACTTTAACTAGTTTGGAGCTGAGGCGTAGCTGTTGTTATTGTTGTCAAATAGGTCTGATGCTTTGCTTCACCAGATTTTCTGTAATTGGAATGTTATCTTACAATTGAGAGGCAGTGCAAGGGTTGCATTGACTTTGGTACCATAAAAAAGCGATCTTTTTTGCTAAATATTCAAAGTTTTATTGATTGAGGCTTGTCACTTTAATCAGGCTCAACTTGAAATATTGAATGGCCTTTGTGCGCCTGCATTTTCTCTGTATCATAAAAAAGAGATCTTTTTGCTATATTTTCAAAGTTTGATTCATTAAAACTTGTCACACTAATCATGCTCAACTTGAAATGTCTAATGGCCTTTGTGCGGAATCTATATTGGGGACTCAAATAGCAGACTCCAACTAATATGGAGGCATAGTTGTTGTTATCTTTGTAATATGGTTTTGATGCTTGCTTCACCTGATAATCAGATGTTCTGTAGTTGGAACATTATCTTACAATTGAGAGGCTGTGAAAGGGTGGCATTGACTCGGGTATTCTAAAAAAGAGATCTTTTTGCTATGTTTTCAGAGTTTGATTGACTAATGCTTGACTGCTTGTCATGTAATCATGCTCCACTTGAAATGCTGAACTGCGTTTGTGTAAATCATACAAATAATTGTAGAATCCACTGATTTTCACAGGTTATTTGCAAGAATAAATTGATTTAAAAATGTTTTACTCAATTAACACGATATCCTTGAAGTGGGTAAGAGACTGCATTGCCATGCTCATTTTATGGTGGGAAAAATATGTCTTCCCTAGCGGATAGCTTTTCTTGATGTTTATAGTTTTGTCTTCCCACAATTCTTTTTCTTCATGGTATTTGCGGCAGTTATTTAACTACCATGCATTGGCTTCCAGGCTAAGAAGAGAAAGCTAGGACTAATTGAGGATGATGATATGAATAAACCTGCAGATATGGCTTCGATGGTGGAGGAACGAGAAAATGACGATTCAACTACTTTTGTTAAAATCCGTGGTATGCCAAAGCCTTCTTCTATGCTTTGTCTTTTGTCATGGGTCAGTTGTTGGAGGAAGTGTAGTGGCTTTGGTTCTTTACCTCTTATTTTTCTCTCTGGCCTCTTACACTTGCTTGTCTGATGCAGATAACTCGGAAAGAGCTTTCTACAAGGAGTTAGTCAAAGTGATTGAAGCTTCTGATGTCATTTTGGAAGTGCTTGATGCTCGAGATCCTCTTGGTACACGCTGTCTTGACATGGAAAAGATGGTGATGAGATCAGGACCTGAGAAACATCTTGTCTTGCTCCTCAATAAAATTGGTATCCCCTTGTTTTACTTATAGCATTATCTTGTTTCTACTTGAACTTTCATTTTATGGTGAAACCAATCATAGATAGCTACATACCATTTTCTTGTACCCATGTGCTGTGCTATACGAAGTAAAAGGTTGTTACATGAAGTTCGTGTTTGACGAGTGATGGTGACTTATAGAAGCACAAAAGAAGTGGAATGGTTTTCTCAGTGATACAAGTTTATATGTGGATAAATATGTATATATTTACTTGATCAAAATTATGTATATATTTGCACCTCAAATAAAATAATATTTGCACCTCTGCTTCTTCTTTTTGATATAGGTCACTAGACCTTTTCCAGGCAGGCTTTGCTTATGCAAAAATTTTGCTAGCAAGCGTCATTTAGCTTATGCATTATCTAATATGATGGTTTGAAAAGTTACTTCCTACATTTCATAGGGATGACATTATTTACTCTTTTGACTTTGTAATCAGATCTTGTCCCTCGGGAAGCTGCAGAAAAGTGGCTAAAGTATCTGCGAGAGGAACTACCAACAGTTGCTTTCAAGTGTAGCACCCAAGAGCAAAAGTCAAATTTGGGCTGGAAGTCTTCCTCAAAGGCTGGAAAAACTACCAATCTTTTGCAGACAAGTGATTGCCTTGGAGCTGAGACTCTCATAAAATTGCTGAAGAATTACTCACGGAGCCATGAGGTATTTCTAGGATCTTTTTCTTTTTGGGTCTCAGTTCTGGAATGCGCCTTGACTTGAACTTCTATGTTTTGTGCACTGTGTCTACTCATGCTTCTTATTTGGTTGCATGCGCAAATCAGCTACATTTATTCTCACCTAGGTTCCAATGTTATCAAGTTGAGTCATTGTTCAATTCCATTCTAAAGGATCATGACATTATGACTTTTTGTACTCTGTTTCTCAACCTACAGCAACCCCCATCCTTTATGTGGACTGACAACTGGCTATGCAAAGGTCACATTGGTGGAATTTAAATTGCTAATTTTGTTACACTTGCATTAGGTCTGGGAAGGGGAGTCTTGGCGTAACTGGTAAAGTTGCTGCCATGTGACCAGGAGGTCACGGGTACGAGCCGTGGAAACAGCCTCTTGCAGAAATGTAGGGTAAGACTGCGTACGACAGACCTTTGTGGTCCGGCCCTTCTCCGGATCCCGCGCTTAGCGGGAGTTTAGTGCACCGGACTGCCCTTTTTTTGCATTAGGTCTGGGGTTTGCAGCGACTTGTACGTCAGTGTAGGAATAAATATGAGATATAGAGAACTTAATTTGTCGGAAAAGTCAATTGTTGCAGCATTGGAATTAGTAAGGACCAAATAGAGCAGAATGGATATAGGAATGGCAAGCGGGGCGGGGGCGGGGCGTGTTCTGTCTTAACCCGCAAAATTTCTACCTGCCCCGCATAGTTCTTTACCCACGTTTCTT